TTGATTGGTTAATGATCACGGGAAATCACGGGTAGATCTACAAAAATTAACCAATCATACGAATGTCTGCCCATGATGAATTAGTATTATAAATACCTTCGCTTTGTGATCAATCCGCATTCAGGTTCCAAATCATACGGCTTGAAAATTACGTTTTCTTAACTTCAGCTAGGTCACATTTCACCGTCACAACGTGCGTATATACATACGTACCAATTTTTATTTAATCTATTATATTGGCCAAAAATCATTCAGCTAATTTTTTACAGGTGTCCCAGAAATTATGAAAACAGCTGTAAGCAGCATATACCTCATACCGGCCATTCAATGTACCGAATTGGTCGTGATTTTAATAGAATAGAAAGTTTAAGTTAGTAAAGTATTAGCGAAGAAATATAGCACAACAAAAATATACTTACCAGAAGGAACCAAGCCGACTCGCCAAATCTAACTGCCTCTTTCGATTAAGCTAAACGTTGGTTCAAGAACGTAAAGAATTGAAAGATATCGTCTTATAACAAACAAAGAAATATACCCACCCAAATCAGAACCCAATTCTTGACGAAGACAAGCAAAAATTCACTAAAAAATAAGAACATTAGTATAAGCAAGAAAACAAAACGCCAATAACAAAACAAGAAATTTATCCACCCAAACTGGAAGCCCAATTCCAGACGAAGACAAGCAAAATTCACTAAAAAAAGAAAGAAGAACATTAATTCAAGCAAGAAAATAAAAAGCCTAGTAACAAACACTCACCCAAACCAGAAGCCCAAAATACAACGACACTAGCGAAACGACAGCTCCAAAATGCAACAACACCAATGAAACAATGACTCCAAAGAGACACAACATCAGAGAAACAGCAGCTTCAAAAAACAATAAATTAGTGAAAGTGCGCGACGACGACACTAGCGAAACAATGCGACAACACCAATGAAATGACGACTCCAAAGAGACATGATACCAGAGAAACAACGGCTCCAAAAAACAATAGACCAGAAAGCGTGCAACGACGACACCAGCAAAATGATGGAACCAAAATGCGACACCACCAATGAAACAACGACATCAAAGAGACACGACACCAGAGAACCGGCGGCCCCAAAAAATGACGATCAAGATTATCTAAAAAAAAAGTAAACTGATAAGAAAACAGACAAAATAGTATAACTGATAAATAAAAAATCTATACTTATCTTGTAGATCTGTGTAACTACCCATGATTACTGTGATCGATGCCATATCCCGCACATGGTGCACCCCGCATCAAATAAATATATCCTATAATATAATAATAGATATTTAATTTTTTGTATATATGCTAAATATATTTTTAATTTATTTATTTTTATCTAAAATTTTAATATTTTTTAATTTAACTTTAGATAAAGTAATATATAATTATCTATAAGCAAATATAGATATAAACAAATATAATATTATATATAAAATTATTCAAATTTATAGTTTATTAATAATTATTATAAATTATTCAAATTTATAGTTTATTAATAATTATTATAAATTAAAATAAACTAAAAAAACTGATATTAAATTAATAGAATAATAAATCAAAATCTAAAGATACTATTTAAATTTAAAAAATAAATACTTTTTTATTAATATAAAAATTTATAATAATTGTTAAATCTTTATATATTATTAAATCTTTTAATAATTAATTTAGTCTATTAAAAACTTTAATAGAACAAATATTTTATAATAAAATTATTTTTATTTTATTTTTTTTAAAGTAGAGTTTTGCCTTTATCTTTATTAATATTTTGTATTAAAGATCTGCTATGAGTTACTCTGACCATAGCTAATTTACAAAATTTTTTACAAAAATAAGACTCAAACTACTAAAAGCTATCTAAACTAAAAATTCTGACTTATTTGCAAGCTAAATCTACTAGAGTAGTTAAAACCTATCTAGATTTGATAATATAAAATATTATTAGTTGGAGTACTATATTTAATTCATATAATTGTCTATAAAGATATTTTTTAATTGCTTTTCTAAGAGGTGGACAGGTATTGTCATTATGATGTTGATTAGAAAGTTACAAACAAAAGTAAGTATATAGTATTCTGTATTGTATTATATTTCGGATAGTTATTGTATATATAGTTGTTCTATTATAATTAGGTCTAGAAGGTATATTGTTTTGTTATATAAGTTTTATATAGTATTGTATCTATAACTGGTTATGTATATTCTGTAATAGTTGTATTAATAGTTAGATAGTTGTTTTTGTTGCAATTTGAGTAGAGTTTGTATATTCTCTTATAGTCTGTATAAGAAATATAGTTGTATATAGATTAATATAATTATGCTAATAGTAGGTAAAAAGCTTAGGTAATTTGTAAGTTTGGTTTATAGTTCACAAAATTAGATGTTAGTAATATTTAATCTGAAGTATTGAAGAAATTGTTGTATAGTGTTGGTAATAAATATATTAAGTTTAGATATATTTAGACAGATAAACTAGTATTCTTAATTCTCTCTTAAGTTATATATTATCAGTCGGCTGATATGTCATACGAAATTGATCTACTATCGAATTTCTAAAAAAATTTTAATTATATAATAACCAG